ACATGATCAAGCATTATGGTCCCCACTTGGTTGGGTTTAGTTCTTTCGTGTTGAATTGAACTTTATTTTTTACAACAGGTGGTCTTTTTTCCTTGATAATTATATTGCTTCTCTATAATGCTGGCAATTTTGTCTTTCTCGAGAATAGAGAACACTTTAATGTGGATTACTATGCCATTTCATGAACTCAAATCAGTGTTCTTGATATTTGGATTACATGGAATTTCTGTACGAGGAATTCCTTTGACCATGGTTTGCTCTACTTATGTTTAAAATTTCTTTGTTTTGATTATATTGATTTGTCTGGTATAATGCTAACCTTCAAACATTTTGAGAAAATCTTATGTCAACTTAAGTGGATAGGCAAAATTCATCCACCAACTTTTTTATCCATTGATGTTGCCTTGGGATCCGTGAAAGATATGAAGAGTCTTTTAGGATTTGTGCATCTCTTGATTGCACAAATCTTAAGGCAAGATGAGTGGATAAAAAGTTTGGTGGACAATTGTTCCTATCCACTTAAGTTGACTTAAGCTCATCTCATACGCGCGCGCGCACACACACACACATACGCACACACGCACACACACACACGCACACTGTGTCCAATATAATAACCAGTCACTATTAATACTGTTAGCATGTGTATGTCTCTCCCTGATATTTATGATCAATTTTAAGGGCATGTAAGAGCTGTATAAGTTTGATGGCCTCCTCTTCATGTTAAAATTTCTTTGTTTAGGTCATTTTGATTGGTCTTGTTATGATGCTGACCTTCAGCTTTAAATATGTTGACATATTCTTTTTCTTTTAAATGTCTATGAATCCAATATAACCCAACTAGCAATATATTAATGTAGTTAGCATGTGCATCTCTCTCTCTAGATATTTGTGATCAAATTTGAAGCTGAGCTTGACATGTATGAATAGGGAAAGTATGAGCAGCAGTATGAACAATCAGCAGAATTTCAGCAACAGTTGAAGTTGAAAGTGCGGGAGATCTTAACTGAGCAGGAGTGGCGTAGGAGAAAAATGGCAATGAGGGTATGTTGGACCTTATTATCCTCTGGTTGACTATGGATAGTCAGTCATTAGAAAATGAAAGTTTTATTTAGTCTTTTTTTAATGTCCTACAACCTTACAGATCTCAGAAGAGGAAGGAAGGCTGAAGAAGGATGAAGAAGAAACAAAGGAAATGTGGAAGAGGAAGCGTGAGCATGAAGAGCAGTGGGAAGGGACAAGAGAACAAAGGGTATGTTATGCGATTTTGATACAAGATTTTACTTTCTTTTGCCATAAGTATAATAAGGTATTAAGGATGAACTTTATGAATTATGTGGCAGATTAATTTTTATGTTGCATATTTTATAGTAGTTAAGTATATGATTGTGAAGACTGAATCCGGTGTATATTTCAATAGTGCTTTGAAGTATTTTTGTGCAAAACTTTGATGCACTTGTTTTGCTAGTATATGTTCCTCTTATTCTTTGTTTGATCATCATGGTACATAAAATGATTATTTCTCCCTGCTAATTGCCATGCATATTTCAGTGTAATGCTGGCTTATCTATTATTCTGGTACTCATATAGTCCAATTCAGTGCATGGGCTTGGCCTATCTGCATAAATTTCGAGTTCCTCAATATATATTGACGGAGTTGCTTACTGGAATTTCTAATAGAAACCTATTTCTATGTTAGTTTTCTGTATAATGGATTCGTAAACTATTAACCTAGATGTTCTGTACTCAAAGGATTGAATGATACATTTGTTATTTAGAACAGAGGATGGCTTATTGAGCTGAGGCTTATCAGTATCTATTGTTTGTTAAGTCTGCATCTGTTGCGTCAAGTCTACAATGTAATGTTAGAAATAAAATTGCAGTATCTATTGTTTGTTAAGTCTGCATCTGTTGCGTCAAGTCTACAATGTAATGTTAGAAATAAAATTGTCTCTACGTATCTGGGGCCATACTGTATATGTCAAGTCTACAATGTAATGTTAGAAATAAAATTGTCTCTACGTATCTGGGGCCATACTGTATATATTAATTACTTGAAGCAGTTATAATTGTTTTATTCGTTAGAAATACATTCTTCTTATGTATGAAGATGTCCCATGTCTGCGCTTCTAGCTTTGACTGCACAGTTGATCTGGTTCATGATATATGAAAAAGCATATATTAAATCACGACTTGATGCCAACTTCTAATGTTGGGACTTGCTTCTGATGCATTTTTGGGTAGAGAATATTTTTAGAGGTTGTTTATTATCCATGCAATCAGTATAAGAAATTGAAAAGTTCAAGTTTGAGGGCATGAATCTTTGCAATAGGCTGTGATTTGATCTCTGTAAGCAGTTATCTTCATCAGGGTGCACCCCTGCAGAGTTAAAAAAAAAAAAAGGAAATTCTCCTCAAAAAATAATTTTAAAACGATCTTTTGACGCTATCATCTCATGGCTTGTTTCAACTTCTGCTGGCACTCTCATATATTTGTTCATTTCTCAAAAATGCTACTGCATCTCTCGATTTGAAATGATATATTGTGATCCTCGAATACAGTAAAAGTATTGCTCACAAACTAAATGGTGAGTTTCTCATATTGATTGTTGATTAGAATTTGGTTCTTAACCTTTTGAATTATGTTTTCCAGCTTGTCACTGTAGTCTCGAAATCTGTTATCTACTAATTATCCTGAGTTTTCTGTGAATTTAGGTTTCTAGTTGGAGAGATTTTATGAAAGGCGGGAAGAAGGTGAGGAAGACAAGCCTACAATTTTTTATTTTAAAGTTCTTCAATGAAGATAATATATCAATGCGTCGTATCTTTTGGTTCTGCAGGCTAAAAAAGGGGAGACCAAACCGCCAAAGCTCAAAACCGAGGATCCAAACAAGTCCTACGTTCAGAGGCCAGTGAAGCGGGGTTGAGCTCTTTCCTCATTGAGGAAACAGTGGATATGGAAGGTACAATTATAATATTACTGACAAAACTAGCAGATGTCACAAGTTCAATATGTCTTCTCGCTGAAGATCAGCTAGATTTATGACCTTGGTCTAGGTAAAACTACTTTATGAAAATGTTTATATTCTGTGTACAACTGAATTGGAGCTAAAATTGATGGGAGGTGGCAATATTTTATTAAAATTACTCCTCAAATGAGTTAATTGATGAAGCAAATGGAAATTGCAATATGTTTGTAACCATTCAGGACTGGGCCAAATTTGACAAATCTAAGTTTTGACAGCTTGTGGTTTTGGTAATTTTTGCCAGATCCTAGTTTTTGAAATGTCTGGGACTGGACCATCTCTTACTGTGCTATCATTTTCACATTACCTCTTATGCAGTAGGTAAACCTTATGACTGGCACTTTTTTGTTGAAAAAAGTGGAATAATGCTCGATGGTGCGCATCCCAAATAGGCCAGCATAGTACGTGTCCATGCTGTGCCCATTGTTTCAGGCCTTGTTGAAATTAGCTCTGAGGACTAGTGATTCAATCAAAAACCCTACCCTTGCCCGAATTGTGATTGCTATCAAAAGCCGACTAGTAGTAGTGTAGCCTGTGTAGTGATTGAAATCCAAAGCTAACTATATTTGGGGCGTGTACGCCCTATGTATGAGCGAGCACATGACACTGTCATTGCGCGTCACGACGGCTTTTTCATACTTCTATACCTTGATAATTGCACAACTTTCATAGAAATTTGTGTGGCATTTGTTTTTTTTATTATTTGATATACTAAGCTCGTGTTCCTCAAAACTAAGCTTAATCCTAGCCCGGTGTGAGGATCCAAGCAACTTGGGGAACCCACCCTTAAAAGGTAGTTGTTAAGGGGGAAGAACCAAGTCACTTAAATACCCCATCAAGCAGCCCATACTACCCGATGTGGGACTTTAGTCCCTAACATAGCACCGCCCCTGAGAGCCGACGTCCCGGCGGCTGCACTCTATGATGCTTCACTCGGCGGTGCTTTACTCGGACTTTTCCGGTCAGCCCCTCCGCCGGTCAGCCCCTTCACAGGTAGCCCTTTTCGTGACGCCGACAACCAGCTCTGATACCAATTGTGAGGATCCAAGCAACTTGGGGAACCCACCCTTAAAAGCTAGCTGTTAAGGGGGAAGAACCAAGTCACTTAAATACCCCATCAAGCAGCCCATACTACCCGATGTGGGACTTTAGTCCCTAACACCCGGTTTTGAGGTAAACGGGTTCTTTTAAAAAAAAAAATTCAAGGAAAGGGTGGATGAAAAAATAAAAGAAAAATAAAAGAAATCTAGTTTTTATCTCGAAAAGGAGGATCAAAACTGGTCTATTTTTCACCAATAAAAAAACAAATCCTAAACAGGCCCAGATTCAGCTTTGACCCAGGTTTAAGGGTTTGCCGAACACACCCTTGATCTTTGAGACTTATGAGCGAACTCAGAGCAAAAGATATCTATGGGACTATTTCCGTTATAATTACATCTAGAATGATGTACTAGATATTACCTACTTGTCACTAAATCAAATTGCATCCTAAGAAATATAGTCAAAATAACATGACGTAGGGCCTTGGGCTCAAGTTTACTGGCAACATTCAAAGAAGTGCTCGACAACATCAATTTGATATGCTAGCGGATTGGTTATCTTTATGCAGCAAATATGAAGAGATCGCGTGGCATCCATGTGCTACTATCCTGATCGTAACGGGAGCACGATGTTCCTTTTCTTGGCCACCGTTTCATCACCATTGTTGTTCTCTTTTTGGATAGTTTGGCAAAGTTTCCCATGTTTTTATCATGGGATATTTTGTTAAAGTACTAATTTTTTTTTTGTTATAAATAATGCTATAACCGAGAAAGAGGGGAGTGGTTCTAGAAAGGGAAATGTATACTTGAAAACTTGTGGGGTTTAATGATCAAAGAGAAAGTAAATAATAATAATAAAGTAGGTGAAGCGCATATAATGTCTTCTCATATATTCTCAAGGAATGTATGAGAAAATAATTGATGCCTTCATGTGGTTTTATGAATTTGAAGAGAGGCAATTATGTTAGAATTTTGGATTTATTTGTGGTAGACTTAGAAGTAATGTCTCAACATCTGAATCAATGGACTTGACTTTTTGGTTGTCTTTAAGATAATATGTGTCCTGATATTGGCAAGGGTCACCGCAAATTTCCCTCTTAAGATAATTCAAGTTCATATTACTCTGTAATGATTGCTGGTTGAGAACAAAAAGATCATTTCAAAACTCCATCAATATAGAGATAAAATTGTTGGCGTCTGTGGCTAAATCTGGAATAATACTGAAGTGCTATATTTTAAAATATTTTCAAGTTTAGTTGTTGTGCGTTTATGAAACGCTGTGCTTAAAACAATATTTGGCCTACCTCGGTGCAAGGGTCCCAAGACCAACTACTTCCAGGAACAGCAGTACAGTACACTGATGTGCACCGACCAAGTACTATCAAGATCTCCTCGATTTATAACACTTTTCGGTCAAGGCAAATATCTCCTCGATATGTTAAACCTTTCGGTTAAAACCTTTCGGTTCAGGCAAAGATCACATTGATCTGTTAAAACCTTTCGGTTAAGATAAAGATCTTTTGATCTGTGATAACCTTTCGATTCGGGGCTTTGTTCATTCGGGCACAGACTAAAGCTTGCACGCTTTCAAACTCTGCAGCAGCAACACAACAGCTTAAACACTTCAATGTGCTTTTTGTATATATCTTAGAGCTGCTCCAAGGGGCTCTATTTATAGGCCTCTAAGGTTAGCTCAAGGGTCATTTGACTGTTACAAATCATAATAACAATTATGATTGTAACAACAAATGACTTAATTGTTGTAACTACTGCATGTAGTTTTAATTGCTGCATGTAAAAACGTCTGAACGCGAGGGTCGCGTTTCTATTCAACACGAGGGTCGCTACCAGCCTCGCGCGAACACGAGGGTCATACTCCCTCTCTCAAACGCAAAGCTCGCCCACATGCTGCGAGGCAGCCTATGGGGCAGCCAACATGGCACCAAAGGGAGCCACCTAGCCCCGATGCCTCCGTGCGAAGTGTAAAGTGCGCCTTACAAAGTGCCACTTAGTGACTCAGCCCAATTAGCCCTGATCCTCGGCCTATTGGCCTACGAGCACACGGGCCCACAACCCACGACTCACGGCCCACGATCCACTAGAACTTATAAGGGATTAATTGAATAAAAATAATTCTCGGCTTGCCGTTGGTAAGCCTCGAACACAGGACCTTTTGAAACACCAAAACTTTATGTTTTCGCTACGCTATTAAGGATTTTTAAAAATGATCAGTAATTAATAAATACATAGTTTGAAAACTCATTTTTGGAAAGCGGTTTTGACAAAAAATTCAATAATATAAGTTTTTAAACTAGTGTCGTGTAACGGTGCTGTTGTTTCAATTGTTGTACATAAGGTAGATGTCGCAAGGACTTGAACCCCTTAGACCAACTGAATAAAAGATAGATGTATGGTATCGTAGAGACTTAAACCAGTACATGTCTAAAAATCCAACGACCATACAAGATTAAACTCATCTGTGATAGTTTTTACTTTGAACCACACTTGCCTTTGCTTTTGCCTTGCACATTTATGGCCCTGTGCATATCCTAGTTTCTACTAGGACTCTAGGTATCTTTCCACAAGACACCATCGGAGATAGCCAAATATCCATTCAGGCATAGGTGAGTTCTTTAGGCATGTTTCTTATCAAATATCTCGTATTCGAGATGCTTTGAATTCATTAAGGCTTAAGAGTCATCATCTCTCATAATATTAAGGCTTAAGAGTCATTCTCTCTCATAATAGGATTCTAGGTGAGTCCTTTAGGTGTGTTTCCTATCTAACACCCTGCATCCGAAATGCTTTGGACTCATTAAGGCTTAACAGTCACCCCATTTACATGGTAGGATCATCGATGAGTCATTTAGGCATGTTATCTATTCAACAGCCCGCATTCGAAATGCTTTAGACTCATTAAGGCTTAACAGCCATCCTCTATACCATGATAGGATTATCGTTGAGTCTTTTAGGCATGTTACCTATCCAACAATCTGCATCCGAAATGCTTTGGACTCAGTAAGGCTTAACAACCATCCTCTATACCATAATAAGATTTCACTTACATATCTTACTTGACATTTGAACCAATCATTTTATCATTAGTAGCGTAAGCTTTGAACTAATAACTTGATGTAAATGGTAAGTATTTGTAAGACTCACCAACTCACCAAACTTTATAAATCTTACTTGACTTTTGAACCAATTATCTTATCATTAGTAGCATAATCTTTGAACTAATAACTTGATGTACATAGTAAGTATTTGTAAGAGTCACAAAGTTTTGAGACCCATTCCAGCAGACGTCCTTTCGACTATATCCTTTTGCAAACTCTTAGTCAAATGATCAGCCATATTCTCTGAAGACCGGACATCAATCACAGAGATAAATCCTTAACAAATGAGTTCTCTCAAATAGCCATGCTTTAGATGAATAGTCCGCTTCTTTCCATTGAACATAGAGTTTGCTGCCACAGCACTCACTACATGATTATCATAATAGATAGTAATTACGCCTTGTAATTCTGTCAATGGAATATCTCGGAGAAAATAACTGAACCACTCAGCTTCATCTTCTGCAACACAGAGTGTGAAAAACTTAGATTCCATCGATGACTGTGTAATTATAGTCTGCTTCTTAGACTTCCATGAGACGACAGCTCCATCCATGGTGAAGACAAAACCTCCAGTAGATCTACACTCATCTGGTTCTGAGCACTAGCTCGCATCTGAATAGCCTTCGATTATAGCCAGATATACAGTGTAGAATAGGCCCAAACCTGTAGTTCCTTTCAAGTACTCATCAATCTCTGATAGCATCCCAATGAAGCTTTCCAAGATTACGTGTGAATCTACTAAGCATTTCTACAGCGAATGTTATGTCTGACCTTGTGCAGCTCATTGCGTACATAAGACTCCCATTAATCTTTGAGTACCTTAGCTGCTCTACTGGTCTTTTAGTGTTCGGTCGAAGCTTCTTATTGTAATCATACGGCACTGACAGTTCTGGCATGTCGTAGTAGCCATACTTTCTTAGCATGCTCTCAACATAATGAGATTGAGACAATCCAATACCCTCTTCAGAGTATATGATTTTGATTCCGAGAATCACGTTCGTAGTTCCAAGGTTCTTCATACTGAACTGTGCTGGAAAAAATTTCTTGGTAGATATTACTAT